GAGATAAAGACAAGATCGCCAACACGCACAACACGACACAGCGACACAAAGAACTGGAGAGGGTAGGGATTAATCACTAAGGCAATGGTGATGTGACTAACCATTTGCGTTGCTTGCACAGATCGGGTTTGAGGGTTTGAATGTCTAGAGCCTCGGCAAATTTCAGTAACTCTGTGTTTGTTGTCTTGCAGATGACCTGAAATGCGTGAGTTGGAGTGACACAATGTTTTTGTTCGAAGGAGTGTTGTGTTATCGAGGATCTAAGTGTTTTCTGATCATTTGATGACGTAACGGTGACAAACTTGTCGTCCATCGCTTCCTTAAGCCACACTGGGATGTGTTCGGCCATTCAGTGAGGTAACTGCCTCTCTGTCCTACCTTTGTAGATGGGTGCTCATCCACACTCAAATTGGAAAATGCAGTTTGATTTGGCGGAGAGAGACAATGGTTCTTTCACCGATGTCGATGGTATCCGGGTGGTATTGAAGACAATACCCAGGTCAGCTGCTTAGTAGATGCAATTGACGGCAGAGTTCAACTGCTTGCTGACTAAGTCATTCACGTCATCGCCTCCGTTTGATAACTTCAAAAAGCTTTCATTGTGGGAGCAAAGTATGTTTTACAGTGGCAAGCTCATTCGATTGTCAAAAGGCACCAGGCACTCTTTGGAGCAAAGTCTGTTTGTTTCGTGACCACGGAACATCGTTGGATGCGGTAACTTTGTTCCGCATTACTGTGTCCTGAGAGTTAACCTTCGAAGCTGTCGGACCACCAATTGCCTTTTTACGAAATCGACATCCATATAAGCTGAACTGAATAATCCTGATCAGTCCCCTGGATGTGGGCTGATTCACGCAGTAGCAAAATGCGCACGCCCTCGATGCATCTGGTTCAGAGCTTATCATCCCGAAATGGTCTTATGATCGCATGTTCGAGTGTATGAGAGAGAGAGAGAGCAAACGTTGCCACTGGTAGGGTACGTTCAGTCATTCCCAATCGTACTACGCCTTCCGGTTTGTAGACAATTTCATGATGCCGGAGGTCAGATGGAACTCAACCGATGATGAGGTATGACGGAGCCAAGTGATCAGTCTCAGAAGACGAAACTGCTTCATTTGCCGCACTGCGTTTGAAAATAGCCAGATGATGACCAGTGTGACAGTGATTGATAGTTGTGATGTCCACGTGATGAGTTCCTGAACAAGTTAAATTTTTCTAATCGGAAATCAAAACACACCGGTGTTGGGTCGGGCAAGTAGGGTAGTCGTTTTTCCAATTCCGTATTTAGTGAACATTACCAATTTTAGTCAGTTGATTGTCGAATGAGCGCTAGTGTTTAGGCTGTGTTCGATCCGCAACTTGTCCGTCAAGCATATACTTGATTTCGGTTCGGTAAATTCTTACTTTCATCATCTCTGCGGGAAGTCCGGATTCCTGATGCACCAACGTGAGATTGACGTCGGCTCGTTTGATGTCATGGAGGGATGAAATCACGCTGTCCGGGTTACACCAATCTGATCTGACTAGGCTGTGTGAAACAAAGTTCAGTAACTGGATCCATCGATACTATCAATCGGTGGTTCAACACATTATTGAGCATGATACTTAGAACGCTGGTTTTAGACCCGGTCGAGGTTATACCAACCACATTTTCGCTCTTCGTCAGATTTTAGAACACAGACACCCCTTTCGTGAACCCACCATTTATTTCATCCTAAATCGACTTTCTAATCAGTTGACTGTTCTGAACTCTGATAATCCCTCTCTCTGGAGGACGTGCTCGAGACGTTTATTTCAGTTTGTTGATCTCGTTATACTAACAGCCGAAGTCGACTATGAGATTACGGCACTTTTTCGCCTGAGTTCACTATGGAAAGCAGTGTTCGTCAGGGGTGCTCACTCTTCGTTTCTGTTTAACTCAGTCATAGATTTAATTCTTGAAACAGCCTTGTACGACAATAGTGGTATAGATTTTCTCCCGGGTAATAGTGTCTGATCTGTAATATGCAGGCGACATTGTGGCGTTAAATGAAGACCCAGGTAAGTTGCGAGCTTTTCTGAATAGCTTGACTGCTAGTGTAGCCATGTTCAGTGTGCGTTTTCATCCTTCAAAGACAGATTTTGCTACAACACTGGGTTTGCCCAAACCCCAACCATATTCTAACTGAAGTAGTAAAGGAAGTAGATAAATTTTGTTATTTGGATAGTTATATCTCACCTGACGGAGGCGTCACAGATGGAGTGTTTCCATGTATACAGAAGGCTCGATTGGCATTTACCAACTTGAGATATCTGTGGTGCCGTCGTAAGATCCGGCTGTCCGTAGAAGGTCTAGTCTATTCTGCAGCGGTTAGCTCAGTCCTACTCTACGGGGCAGAGACTTGACCATTACAGACACAGGATAGACGAAAGGTGTTCGAACACCACTGCCCACTCCGCATTGTAAAAGTATAGTAGGGGAACCGGACAAACAACTCTGAGGTTAGGCGCAGAGTTTTGGGTCACCTCGGTCGCCCACTGGAACACATGGTTGACCTCCATGGACTACCTTGTTTGGGATGTCACCAAATAGGTTGCTAAGGAGAACGATGTTTGCCGAGACCGGAAGTAAATGGAAAAACGTCATGTGTCGTCAAACTAAAACCTTTCATTTGGAGACTGGGTGACATAGGTCCTGTTAAGTCCCGTGGATGGGGACCCTGAGATCATGGTAACCGATGGTTAATCATCATCGAACAGTGAAGTGAGTTTCATGGATCGCTGCCAAGCTCACAATGTACACAAATTAAGCAATAAAGCACCAAATGGAAGGGGATTGGGCCTAATTGGAGGTAGACAAAGAAAGTGAATCTCTACATTCAACACATAGAGTACAAAATATGTGTGCATATATACCCTTTCAAGCATTCGGACCTGATAAGAAATGATAACAAGAACGCTACTGCTGTCGGTTAGTCGCCATGTCTTCCACCACCC